ATATATATATATATATATATATATATATATATATATATTATGCATTAATTCCACATTTTTATATTCTTTTTCTATATCTTTTTCAATTGTTTAAATGGCCGGAGTTGCACCGGATTACTTGGCTCAACCAGGAGCTGGGTCCAAGTAACTCAGCTGAGGCGACTTGGTCGCGGCCAAGCAATCCTTTGATGCAGAGATTGAAAATGCAATTTTAACAATTGGTGCCAAATTCAAGCACTGAATAGGAAGCATGAAGTGATATGTATGGATGGCTTCAAGGAATGCAATAGTGAGGTTGATTACCCAGCCCAAGATGGATCACCTCGATCATGTTTTTATAATCAATAAGTTCTCATTTTGTAGGGCTCCTTTGGCATTTTTGGACACATTCACTATAATTCACAAGTGTAATTTTGAAAATGAATTAATATTCACAAATTGACATCCAAAAAAGGAAAGCAATTCAACCAATTTGTTTAAATGCCATCAGTTCCCCTTCATCCCCCAATCGCATTGGACCGGGTCGACCCGTTCAGGCAAATTGACCCGGTAAAAGAAAATTAAAAATATTCAAAAAAATCCTAAAAAAATCAAATGAATTGATTTGTGGAAAAAAAAATTGACAAACATGTCATACAATTTGATAAAATTATCAAAGGATTCAATCAAGATCTGTATTTGTCTTTGAGGTGCAGCAAATGCATGGAGGGATCATGCAGACACACTGATCCCCACCACCCAAGATACCTCCTGAGGGTTGTCCTGGCCTTGTTACCAACTCCAAAATATGGGTGAGGGATGAACAGTGGAGATCGGCATGTTCATGATTCCTCAACACCCACAACAGTGCACGCCAAATACTCTCCCATTCTATAAGTTTCTTGGGGCCATATGCAGTCTACTCCCACGAGGATGAAAGTTTTTTGCCTTTCATACAATTCCCATGAAAATCAATGGCATTATGCTGTAAATCTGTGGTGTATGATGTTGTGGTATGTGCCTACATGGTACACTAGGGGGTACTCACAAGGGTACAGTTCATCTCTGCAATCTGCTCATTTGGTGTACCAAAATTAAAACACCATTTGCGTATTCTGTATTTGGTAAATACAACATACCTTCAAAATGGTCACATGTTGAATAGCTAAAAGTGCAAAATTGTGAACTCAACTCAAATTCAAAGTTTTGTTCTCTTTCAAGAGAAAATAACTTCAATATTCGTCTTAATTTATGTTTTCTTTATTTTTAGGGGAGGGAGGTGGAATTCATGTGGAAGCTGCCAAAACGAAACTGAGTCAATAAGCAATGAGTCTCACCTGATGCCAAGATAAGCATCCTTGAATCGGTGCTTTCAAGCATGCAGACTAAGGTTTTATACCTTAACATCACAAGGATGACAGACTACAAGAAGGATGGCCACCCCACTGTTTTCAGGAACCCAATAACAGGAAGTGAACAACATGAAAATAAGGCTCAAGATTGCAGTCATTGGTGCCTCCCAGTGATTCCGGATGCTTGGAATGAGCTCCTCCATACCTCCCTGCTGATTCAGGTAGGGGCACTTGGGGGGATAAGAAGAACCGATATTGAGACTCTCTCTCTCATGCAGCTCCATTTCACTAACTCTCTATTATACAGCACATTTAGTTGCAGCTCTCTTTCTCTCATGCGGTTCCATTTCATGAACCCTTTCTGTTATGCAACACATTTAGCTGCAGCCAGCTCACTCTCTCTCTCTCTCTCATAGTGCAACTCTTGTCTGTTGTAGCTTACACACTCCTGCAACTGCATGTCACTGTAGCTGTCTCTCCGGGCTTGGGGAAACAGCAACCAATGTTGTGGTTCACCCCCTCCC